GGAATTAAGTTATTGGGCAGAGAACCAGCTAATGGAAACACATTGATGAAATCATTTTTGAGGGACATTAAATGGAACTTAAAATAAAGCTGAAATGGCTTTATGGATTTTTCAGTCAAACTGTTTATGAACATTTATTGGTGGTAAATTACACAGTGTCAGAAGAGGGAATCAGTAGGTATGGCTTTTAATAGAAGTTGCTCTGATACAATACTGTGAGAAAGAATAATTTATTGCCTAGGGACGTACAGTATAGTATGTTTAAATACAAATGATATGATTGTTTTCTCCTAACTGTCTCTGGCTGTTTGCAGGTAAGTTACCCTTAGCAGCAGCAGAGAGTCTCATAAAATGAAAAAAAATATTTTCAGTACTTTGTAATGAAACAGAAATTTTTTATTATGCTTTTTTCTTGGTAGGTAGAAAATGTTTTAGTAACAGATAATTCAGGAAGCAGAAGCTGTGTTGTACAATAATAAATCTAATTTACATTTGCTTTATACTCGGTAAAAAGGTAGAAGAGGGATATAGTACTTTTGATTGAGAAGGGAGATTATAGCAGCTAATTCTTGAACTGTTGGAGCTGTGCATTAATACCATTTGCCGAAACCCATCCTTCCCTCAGGTAGAGGACAGTGAAAATAAACCTAGGGGAGTGCAAGACTAGAAGGCACTTTCTTGTCCTCTGGTTTTGAGATGCCACATCTTATAGTCATGAATTTGTCAAATCTGTTAGATTGTCTGTCCTATCTAACTGAAAAGCTGCTCCCATTTTTGCTCCTCTTTTGGCTAGAAAGCACTTACTTTTCCTCCCAAATATATTTGGGACCAGTTTATTGCCACTTGCTCTCATGCCAACATCAGCCTATAGCCAGTAGGTTTTTTTCCTTCATGTTATTTATCCTCCTAATGTATTTATACACAGCGTTCATATCCTTCCTTAGCCATCATGCTGTTAAGCTAAAAAGCCAAGTCCTTCCAGTCTTCTTTTGTAGGCTAGACTTTTCATGTTCATGCAGTCGTGATAGGATTTCCTCTGTACACTTTCCTCACAGGGGATGAGCTGGGGGCTACATAATAGTGCAAGGATTCACTGATGATTCTTAAAATAATGTAATTTTTTTTCCTGTTCCTGTTAGACTTGCCTTTCAGTTTAATGTCACATTTGCCTTCCCTTTGGCCCTGTCCTGCTGCCGTGACTCATGAGTAGCACTCAGCCTTTATCCAGGGACGCTCCCATCCTGGAAGCATCCAACCCAGAGAAGAAATTTTTACTGCTTTCTAAGTGCATGACCTTGGACTTCATATTTTTAGATTTCACCCTCTCTCTCTTCTTCCACTCCCTGAGGTCAAACATTTGTTTTTGCATAACATCCTAGTTCTCCTCTGCAGAGGCAAAATAGCCCAATTCAGTGTCAACAGCACATTTCCCTCAAACTTTCCTTCTTTTTTTGCCAAAGCTTTTAGTAAAACCACTAAATGAGGTCACTTCCTCCATCCTAATGCCTTCATTTTCAACACCATCCAACATTGATGCTATCACAGCCCAGCTAGGGACTTCCACATGGCCAAGAGCCAGACTTTGGCACAAATGTCCAGTGGAGTTGAATTTGTCCAAGGCACTTGTTTCCATGAGGAGGCACTTGCAGGAGCTGCCGATCCCCTAGGCAGAGACTGAGACTCTTCAGTGTAGAAGAGGGGAGGACTGGTGGGAGTGGGCATGTTTGAGGTCTATAACATTTCCAGTAGCACAGAAAGAAGAGGGTGGTTTTTTACTGGTTTTCACAGTCCGAGGCAGAACAAGCATCCAGTGAAATCGTCAGGCAGCAGGTTGAAACCAAAGGAAGAACTTCTCCAGAGTATTTAATTAATCTATGAGCCCCCTGCTACAGAAATGGGGATGCTTAAGATGATAATTAGGTGAGGGAGGAAAGCTTATCAGTGTTTCTCCAGTGACTGGATGACACGGCCAGCTCAAGTCCCTCAGCTGCTGCCAGCCAGAGACAAGGGAGGGATTTCTCAGTCCTGGTCCCTAGGCAGCCCCTCACGGCTGATGCCCTACTCAGTGACAGGGACAGGCGACCCTTTGGGAGATTTTGTGTTCGTAAAACAGAATAATAAGAAATGATATTGTCAAGGCAGGAAGCCTTATCAAGGCAGGTAGCCTTCACTTCTCATTCATATCAAAGGAGAGAAACAGAAGGATTTGGAAATCTCATTCTTGTTCCCAGTGCATAAGGGACTCTTCCATGGATCTGGGGATGAAGACAACAAGACAGGAACAGAGGGTGTAAGAAGAGTGTGTAGGG